GAGAGAGAGAGAGAAAGAAAACGAGAGAGAGAGAGAGAGAGAGAGAGAGAGAGAGAGATGTTGAGAAAAAAAAACTCATGAAGTAAATGAGGGAAAAAAAAAACGAAAAAGAAAAAAAAATGCAAACAGATGATTAGGTTCCGCGGTTGTCGACAGGGTGTTCCGTGCCCGGGGGGCGTAGGAGCCCAAAAATGCTTTGCTGTCGTGCGCCGCCTCTTTACTTTAGGCTAATAATTTAAATATTAATAATATAATGATAACAATAATATTATAATACATGTTACAATAAGATATTATTAGATGTAATTATTATATATGGTTTAGTCTAGATTGTGTTGTTGAAGAAAAAAAAAAAAACAAAGTACGTATAAGCGAAAAAAAAAATGAGAGAAAGAGAGAGAGAGAGAGAGAGAGAGAGAGAGAGGGAGAGAGAGAGAGAGAGAGTTAGAAAAAGAAGAAAGGGGAGGAAAGTGCGATCGAAGTGAGATAGATTGATGATAACAAATAGAAAAAAAACAAAAAAAAGGAAAAATAATGAAATAAAAATCACATATAGAAAGAATGAAAAAAGTGATAACGAAGAAAGATGAGATTAAATTCGGTACAACGTGTAGGATTTGCGTGACGATAACAGAGAGAGAGAGAGAAAGAGAGAGAGAAAGAGAGAGAGAGATAGAAAGAAAGAAAGAAAGAGAGAAAGAGAAAAAAAAATTTCGGTCTAAGACCATAAAATTGTGTGGCGGACTGAGCGGGTTATTAAAAAAAGAAAATAAAAATAAAACACAATTGCATTTTTCGCTTTAATTTTTTCGACATCGGACGAAAACGGGATTTCCAAGGACGATGAGAAAATAATAAATATAAAAAAGAACAAAAAATTTCATTTAAATGGAAAAAAAAAACAAACATGGAAGTGTGTACCTGTAATCGTTTGTTCTTTTTTTTTGTGGGGATTCGTTTTGTTGATAAATATTAATTTTTCTTTTTTTTTTTTCCTTACGAAAATCGAATCTCGAACGAACCTTTTGAACGCGAAAAAAAGAGAGAAAAAGAGAGAGAGAGCGAGAGAGAAATATTTGTGTGAAAGTTGTGCGAACAAATGCGTGGGAGCGAACGAGAGAAAGAAAGAGAGAAAGAGAGTGAGAGAAAGAAAAAGAGAGAATATATTTGAGATTTTCGCTCTAGTTTTTTTTTTTTTTTTTTTT